CCATAAATATATATTCTCGGATTTATGTGGCATGCCATTTACGGCATTGCCATGTGGTTACATTTATTACGATTTGTGTTAATTGCGTATTTCATATGTCAGGCGGAAATAGAAGTTTTTTCTCCTCCAGGATTTTGCAGTTCAAATCCTAGTTTGGGCACAGAATATATCATAGCGTCCTGTCGGAGATCTCCTTTTACGGAGGGGACCGATCTTTCGTTTCCTTGAGCAAAGGATAAGAAGAAACTTTGCTGAAGGTAAAAAGTGTGCGGCTGTAATCATACCATTTAATCGAAGCATCAGATGTAGGTAAATCATTTACCATGGCTTGTGGTGTTCTAAAAAGATTAGTGACAGTCGGAGTATTATCTACTTTCATTTCAGCAGCTGTACATAGGGGCAGAGACGGATAGAATGGAAGATTCATCTGTTGTGTGTGAGGTAAAGGTGGCTAACACTTGGCAACTGGCGCTGGTGTTTTGGTATAACTAAGCTAGGCGTAAGCTAGTAAGAGGAAAATGAGAGCGAAGATTTGAAATAGGGATGAACAATGTTGGAAGCAGAATTGGTTAGCCCCACCTTGCTGCCTGACATGTTTACATGATACCAACATGGGACGAATAGACGATTAAGAGAAGAAAGATTGCTAAAAGTGAATGAATGTGGATAGATTCATCCAGCTTTTCCTGCTAAGCTCACATATTTTGTTATGGCTGCTAGGTAGGCTCGGCTGAGTAAACAGAATATGAAGTAGACAAAAATGGTTATCTCAATCTCATTTCGCAATTCGTCTGCAGTCCACATTTGTTGGTATGTCTGTGAGTTATGCTTTCCTGAGTAAAGTAGGAAAGTGAGCCGGGTGCAAAAGACTGATGGGAGTTCTGACAACATTATAACTTTTTTCCAATACACCTCTTCAGGAGGGCTTGACCAAGTGAATGCAATGTATGTAGCACATTCCTTGTGGATTTGTCATTAACGTACCTACGTTTCGGCCCCCTCCTCAAACAACACTTTTACATTGCAATTTAGTTGCAACCTTGTTTACACATATTGCACCGTAAGGCACTTTGAAACTTCGTTTCTTAACAGCGGTTCTGTGTCGCACGCTCTTGTTCAAATAGGGAGGCTGTTCCAGATCTCAGTGCAGCTGTATAGGGAGAATTTTCTTCGGACATTAGTTTTCGTTTTGAACACCGGGAGTTTGATCTTGGTATCTATAAATGTCTAACTACCTTCTTTTGTGAAGCAAACATGGTTACATGGTGCGAAAACACGCTGATTGACCAAATTAAAGGGAATGTTAATCCAAGCTTCATGTGTCTTAGCCACAGTGGCTCCAGTTGCAGCATTTTACAACCAGAGTAGTTAGCTTTATATAAAGGGTTAAAGTGAACCCTTATGAATGATCTCTACACGTTTTATATGCATGTATATATGTCTTAAATTATATCACGGAAACGTAAAAATACATTTTTACGAAGACCACTCTTTCCAATAAATCTCCACAGGCATTTACGATTATAAAATGGAAGGGAAGAGCACAACTAGCTGATGAAGCCAAATAGGTGGCAATAACGGAATCATGGCAATCAGAAACGCAATATCTTGATCAATAAATTCGACTACTAACATCTGTGGCAGAGCACGTGTTGGTTGATCGGCGGAATGCAAAACGCATCATCCGCTCACTGTATGTGCGAGACGTTATAAAAGTTGCTAAGCTAACTAGGGCCAATGTAGAAGAAGCCCTTGCAGCAAATCTTTCTGTTTGCATAATTCCCGTTGAATTATCCTAGTCGCGACTGCTCCGGCTGTCCGCAATATTTGCTCCCTAAGACTTCTAGAGTATTGTTGCGGAGTGGCATAAAGTAGACAGAAGTCATCAGCGGTCCTACCCTGGTGTCCACTTCCTACCAGATGTACCAGGATGGAACTGTTAGGGCGAATGACGATGCCTTTCCGCAAAGCCGCTGGGCACTGCTTCGCAATGCGTTTACACAGACGCCTGGTTGTGTGTCCCACGTACCGCGCACCACAGGCGCAGGTAAACTGATATAAGATGTAAGATTGGGACTGAAGCGGAAGTTTGTCTTTAACCCGCTGGGCTATAAAGGGAGCGGTTTCCTCAAGGACGTATGGGCAGGCGGTCGGGAAGGTCCGAGCCAATGCACTTGAAAGTCTTCTGATCAACAAATCAAAGGCAACATCACCTTTAAATAGAACTGATAGGAACACGTCCTTCTTAGGGACATTAGTAATCGCTTCATGGTTATCACTGATCAATGCTTACTTTTGATGAATGGTGTCGCGTAACCGTCATCTCGCAGTCGTTCGAACCTTGCGGAAACCGTTCCCTTATGGCATGTGACGAATTTCTACACATATCATTCAAATTCCCCTACTACTTCTCTGGAATCAGTACGCAGACCAAATTGCTTATGATGCCGTTAGTTAATTGGCGGCCTAAGTTTGGTAAGCTCGTCGCTTTTTGAGGGGGCTACCATCTTCCCTGCACGGCAGTAACGTGTAAGTCAGTGGATACCGAACGGCGCTATAGCACAACTAGTAACTATTTCATGATGGTCGTTACCTTCCCCGCATATATATATATATATGCACACTATCTTATGTGATATATTTAATTAACCAAGGTATCTTAGAACTCATCGTGCATCGTTGGTGAGGCGCAGTTCCACCGAGGACCCTTAGTCCTCTGTTTTACATTTCTTGCAGTCGTACTTGTATTACGCTTGCAAGGTAACTCTATTTCCTTGTCCAGCTGTTTTTTATTTCACCCTCCACTACAGCTACCAAGCAAAATGGGCACCATGTCGGGCCTTTGTCTTCTTCCCTGAGTATTCGTTCTGACTCACAAGTATTTTACAGATTTATTATACGGCCACGGCTTTTCATTTTGTTAGTTGTCCATCCCGCGCCAGACACCTGTTCACTTATCCCGCTCGTTGCTGTGAAAGATGATGGTGCTAACAGGATTTCTCCCTTGCTTTCGCTAGTGCAAAGGCCGATGCATGTCAAAGGGAAGAGGAGACAGAGGCACTACATTCAGAAACTTCCAAGACACTTTACTCATCACCTCAGACAGCGCCATCCCCACCAGGATGGAGATACGAGGTAGATGAATCCATGGTGAGGACAAAAGAATTCGATTCGACAACAGAAACCATAGGATTGGGCAACAATGATACAACGGAAAATGTAGACGGACGATTAGAAGGGGTGACAGAGCGATTGCAGGATGAAAAGACGTCTACACTGCAGCAGCTTAAGGAATCCCCCAATGTGACTAGAATCACCGTGCGTCCACGGCGACCAGATCCTATGCCAGATCTGCCTCGGAGAAGCTCCTCAAAGACACAGAAGCGAACAAGTGGTATGGAATCCTTTGGAGGCAGTATGACAGACAGCGTGAGACAAGATGACGAACGACAACACTATTACCACAGTTCCAGATATGAAACAAATTTTGTCAGAAAGGGTGAGTCGTTAGTACTTGAACCTCGGATTGACACAGCCCAGTTACAAAGTTGTGTGGTACAAATTCCTTGAAGAACACCTAGGCTGTTTGAGTTACTTCTAATTGTAATTTTCGCGCATTAGTATAAGCCATCATTTGTAAACCTACGTAAAAAAGCGGACCAGGCAAAAGTTTAGGCAAATAGACTCAGCTACTCTTCCTTTGAAGGGTCAGAAAGGGCTCACACGAGTGTTCAGGATGTTTTACAAGATTTAAAAATCCATATCTTTCAACTGAGTATTTCTCTCATCACAGGCTGCGAGTAAGAGGCTACCGTTGTCTACCCACTAGGCAATTAGGTCCAGATGTAGCATAAGTCATTTCAGGCTATTAGATAAATCAAAGCAGTGAATTAAGGAGGCGTTATCACGTTAGAGTTGCTTTGCTAAGCTCTACACCACATGTTACCTTTAAAGCTAATATCATTCCAAACACATATTTTCTCTTGCGTTTGGTGATCCAAACAGAAAGTGTGTTATTGTACGAGTCGCAGGCAACTGCTTTCAGAATCTCGCGCCGTTATAGTTCACTCTGGAGGAAATCGACCGGCAGAAACAATTTTTGGAGACTTCTCCGTCATGCTAATACATAAAATAATAATCGACATTGTGCTCTCGGTGAGTGCCATCCTCGGGCACAGATGTTGTGGTCCGAATGTCAACATTTGTGTCTTCCAGATGGAGCTATAACTATAGCAGGGAATTTAATTGGTTTTGGTGAAGATTCCTTGCAGCTAAACTTAGCCATCCAGCCATCACGTGTCCGCGAAAGCGCTAGACAGCCATTTTGTCCTATTTGGACTATTTAGTAGCTTGCATTCGTCGCATCCTGCCGGATATCGAACTCATGACCTAACCCTTACGAGTCTGTGACTTTTGGCACTTATCCATTGGTGACAGCGCCGGACCGCCATAAGTGGTTACCAACTGAGACATAGTGCGCCTCATCCTCTATTTTGACGCATGTAATGAGCCTGCAGAGGACAGGGCGAGCCCTCAAAGCTACGACTATCTTTGCAGGCCGCCGTCAGTGGAGGTGGCATGTAGGTTAGCGTTCGATAACACGATCAAGCTATACCGCATATTGTCGTAACATGGATTTTAAACCTAGCTTTAAACCAAATAGCATTGTCCAACAACATGTCTCCTAGATATGATGGCTAAGAGAATAAGTCAATACTCAATGCAAATTTAAACAAATCCCTAATATATTTTACATATGGAGTAGTTAAGTGGCTAGTCCAATAGTCCAGGATTGTTTCTGTTAGTTCAATCGCTACACAATCGTTGCATATTTTCCAGGGATTCAGTGCCTGTACATCTAGTTTCTCACTGCTAAAAGCGTTTTCATGGTAAGCCAAACCATGATTATACCGTATGTAGAGCAAATCCTAACAACGCTTGGCATGGGATTAATAACTAGTATCTACGTATTGGTAAGTCTAACAGAGGATTCCTCGGTTGTTAGAAAATAGTGGGGTCTGGATTTGGCTTAGCTATTCACCCACGGGTTTACTCAGTCATAATTAGGATTTCAAATATGCAAACCTTTAACATTCCATAGAATTGCTTATTTCGCTTTAAAGTCGATTGAAGTAGACCCGCAGATCAAAATCTGTCCATAATGGTGAAGCTACATCTTTCACCTTTGTGTGGGAATGGGCCATAACTAATGCAGTAGTAGAACGAAGTCTCTAGCGTCCTATCCAGGATACTCAACACCTGCCAACATAACATGATTACAAATATAACAGACAGTGAGGTTAAGTTTAACATAATTGCGTGAAGTGCCCCATTCGGCCACCATTTGGTCATAACTGGAGCAAACGTGGTCTTTACTTTCCGGTGTCTATCGTTCACTACACCTACGTGGCTGATAAAGGCGTGTGAATTGACGGTGTCATCTCGCAATCAGTGTCGCCCGATTCGGAACCCCCATTTCTGTTGGTTATCGTCCACTTAAGCTTTGTAGAAACTAAAGTCATGATTAAAATCCACGCACAATAACGTGCCTCGACGGGGAATCGAACCCCGGTCCCACGAAGTTCCGGTCCGCTGCTCTACCACTGAGCTACCGAGGGCTGACGATAAGGTGCGCAAATTTTAATACATGACTTCTGCTTGGTGCGCGACGTACTTATACTTTGCCAGTAGTATGATAAACTGCGACGCGTTCGTGGTTCTCCCGTGGACCGTTCGCCCTGCTGACAGTATGAACAATGCATACAGTTGCCAACAGAAGGGATTTATCCTTCTCTGATCGTCTGTGATCAAAATGTCTCAACAATGATTTCTAGTGAGCTGATGAGCTTTAAGCTGATAAATGCCCATATTTGTGCCTAAGTTGTTGTTAGCTTGTATACCTATGTAATGGCTTACTCTGTGTACCAATTTCGAATTGTCCCCACTATCATTGAAGTCGGAGATTCATACTCCCCGCGGCCAACCCGACCTTCCACTGCATACGGACACTTCGCCTCAGTGGCGGATCGCGACACTTATCGGAGTCCACTTCCCCCGCGTTCCACCACTAGTTTTGGCCGGTTCCATACGATGGACTATGCATTCCGGAGCCCAGAACGCAGATCCCCCTCCCGCAAACCCCGGTTCTACTTCAGCTATGCTCCAGAGGCCTTCAGGCATGAGGTCATTAGGCCATCAAGAATGGAGCTTCTCAGCTTGGAAGATCAATTGGCCAGATTGAAGAGGGAGAAAAGACGCTTGGGAAAGCAATTGTCGAGATATTCATCGCGAGTTTATCCGCAGCCTGAAGACATAGTAAGCCCCTGGAAAGACGAATTGCTCTCTTCACATTTAATGTCATCTGGTACATGCTTTTTATGACGCATTTCAGTCGACTCATGGGCTATATACAGGTGAACTATTGCTAAGCCAACTAGATTCCAAGTCTCCTACAAGCATTGAATTGATTACGTTGGAATCGGATACGTGTTACTAGCTGCTCCTTAACCGGCCTCTGTTGCGAATAGTACAACTAGCGATCTTGGAGTAGCCCCTACTAATTGAGTAACATGCTTAACAGTACTGATATCACTAGTGCAAACGAAGTTGTATACCTGGAATACCGTGAGATAAACCAATTCATATCCGCCCTACGACCAAAGTTGTTTGATTAGAATAGTCACAGTTGCTAGATGGTCATTGTTTAATCAGGCGGGTTGAATCAGTCGATGACACGTAGGTGGTTTTCGTGGTGCTATAGAGCTTATTGTAAACTGCTCGGTCGACATTTTTGACCCTAATATGGCTACAGTGAGTTTGAACTTATTCTAAACTAAAACAATAACTCAAATTTGTAGCATTCGGAACCATGTGTGAATTTGCATGGTTGATTTTGCTTGCTGAAAACAATGTTCACTGTGGAGTTACGACTTGCTGAAAGCGTTTCCTAACTCCGGCTGTGACAAATTTAACCAAATGAAAGCTGGGATGATACAGTAGTTTTTCGTTTGTTACACTGATGGGCCGATAAATTAGCTTCACGTAGATAACACACTGTGCTGGAATGTATATTAAGCATGCTGAAATACTGGTACTGTTTCGCATCACCCAAGATTCTTCCACCCGACCTCTCAGGACATCATTATTAACAAGGGGTTTGTTGAAGTTCATGGCGTGTTTAATACACTTTTTCAGAATAAAAGTCAGGTTCACCGTGCTCCGCTACGGTTCGTCAAACTGTTCAATGGCTATTGATATTGCTATTGGATCTACGTGGCAGGGGTTTACAATGTGTAAAAAATCAAAGGCTTAACAAGTCCTTTAGATGGCCAAGGCGAAGTTTAGAGGGTGAAAACACTTTGTCCTTAATACGAAGCAATGTCCTAAGAAGTAGAAGTTAATGCAAATATTGCTTAGAAATTGTGTTGCATCACACTGTTTTCTGTAGGTTCTACTGATTACTCATCTGAGCTACCGTCGTCCTTCCATGTGCGCCGCCATTTCCTCACAAACGCATCTGATGCAAATTGTACTTAATCCTCTCAACCAATTGCTCAGGTGGCTTCAAACACATTAGATGCGCTCACAAAGGAACGGGTAGGGGCAATATATGCCTCATACCAGAATGTCCTTCGTTTTAATACCATGAACAAGCCTGTATTTGACATAACAGAGCAGAACTTTTGGCATTGTACTTTTATAGTTGAGCCGACTTACCTACTTCGGTTTGGCGTCATAATTCAAGGCATCCCACAATGCTTTTGCTTTGATACGTTATGCATCAAGTGACCAGCAAATATCTGGATCACTTATGACGGTGGTCTAACCGAAGTCCATCGTAGGGAATAATTAAAAGTGCTTATATAGCCACACTTGAATTTGGCTCGAAGCGTGACAAATCAAGGTCGACAACACAGACGCGTTAGATTGGGGCTATCTTGCACTGAAGTGGACCCAACGCGATTGTGCTTCGAGCGCCACTGACTACAGGGACCACCCATGTCTCTCAGACTGGGTTATGGCACTTGGACCTCATGGGGTTTTCATTACATATCCAGAAAATGTATAAATACAGTAATTGCTCTTTGTTCAACAATCGGTTTTTTTTCTCACTTTTGATAAAGCCTACCAAGAGTGAACCATAATTGATAATTCGCGCAGGAACATTGAGAAAGTCAAAGACCACAAGAAGATTCAATAAAACAATGCCAGAACTAATGCACGATACTTGACGATTTTCCAACAACACTGTGCAATCAATTTGATGGTTAAAAGAATGTTTCTTCCGAAAAGTAAGCCGAACCGGATTACTGGAAAGATCGGAGAGCAGAGTCCATATAACCATGATGGAGTCGGTCGCTAGGCCCGCCCACCTTTGACGACAAAAATATGATTATTTATGGAGTTATTTTTAAAAGGTTGGGGACGAGTTCAAGTAAAGACGACACGCGTTCGACAAAACACGTCCAGCAATCAGGACACAACCGACGCCGGACGGAAGTGGAGTCAGGGTATGTAATGTTCGATCGAGCGGATCACTCCCAAAGCGCGTAGTTTGGAAGCATCAAGTGACTTAGTATTCGATATGAGGATGAGTTTGTGGAGTGAAAACTTAGGACAATATCACTGTGGTGAAGAGTTTTGACTATAACTACGGCTGGAGCACCGGAACGGAGATAAACAGCGGGATTAGAACTTAGCTGGTGACCACGGCGGAACGCAATTCTGACATTGGTCCTGACTCACGAGCGAGACAAGGACAATTCGTAGTGACCTATGTTGTAATTGGTTACCACAAGCCACGGTCTGTCTGCTCATGCATGTGACTCATGTTTGTGAATAACGGTCCATATTATCAAGCGAACTACATAATTTCCCGGCCAAGTTTTCCTCCTGGGCAACAGAAATAATCGGAGGGAGCATTCAACATGAGTCTACTCAATTAATTTGTTCCGTGCGTAGGAGCTGAAGCGTCCACCTGCACCCCTATGACTTAGTGCATCTGAGGTCCAATTGGCTGAAGGCGACGGGCTATACACGCACGCATACACACCTGCACAAGTGACTGGCGTACGCACGGAACAAATTAATTGTGTAGACTCATGTTGAATGCCCCTCAGATCATTTCTGTTGCCCAAGAGGACAACTTGTCCGGGAAATGGTATAGTCACTTGGTAGTGTGTACGCATTACAGCTGTGTCCCTTGCGTTTAGACGTTTTTACTTACAATATTGCCGACGGCTTATCGAACCCATGGTCTCCGCCAGAAAACTGGAAGGGTACACTGTGGAATCCGGGTCCTGGAACCAATACATCTGGCGTATGAACTGGCTTTAAGCCGCAAATGAAATCTGCATCGACAACCGTAAGGTGAATATCCTACTGAGTATCTGTGGCTCAAAAACACCAGTTAATTCGCAGCTTGTTGACTCCCGATTTGCCATGCACCAAACAATTTACTGAACTGCTTACACTGGTTCCTAATCACTATAATCCAAACAACATCAGTCATTGTGTAGCAATTTAAATTCATTACCCGAGTCCAGCGTGTGAGGGCGTCAGCTACTTCCTCCGTTGCCGAGCTTCGGAAGTTAACAGAATATTGTGATTTCGGTAACTACCGTAACCACTTGACCGGATCGCCTGGTGTTCGGCGTGAAAAACCTTCGCATTCAGCGCTGTCTTTTAACTGATAACTCATTGACATTGGAAAATGCCTACGATTTTGCGACGGGCATGGAGGCTGCTGAAAGTAATGCCCAGCTTCTACAGAATTTACAGCTCACTTCAAAGCCATGTGCTGAAGATGTCACGGCCGAAGTCAATAAAGTTGGGAAAAACACCACGCACTGGTTCAACTGTTATCGCCGCGGCTTGCGGTACAATCATCACAGTGAATGCAAACATACACAGACAGTTTATAGGAAATGTCAAAAACGTGGACCCTTGACCCGGACGTGCCGCTGCAGTGCAAACCCATGTTCCTCGGTAGTAAACAACCAACTTGTTGCTATTGAACCACAGGAATATGTATATTTGACACGACAACTCCAAGTGCACAACCGCCATTTCACATGCAGCTTTGTGTTAACCAGATTCCAGTGCATTTCGAAACTGGCACAGGCAGTGCGGTAACGCTGTGCAACGAAAGAACGTGGTCACAAAGATTGGCTCCAACGAGCCACACCAAACGGTGTCGGGCACCTATGCGATTGAGTACATATACGGTTGGTGAAGTGAAACTGATGGGGTGCAGAAAGTTGAGGTGTCCTATAGAGGATCGACAGCCTGAGGAACCATTTACATCGCACTCGGAGATGGTCCACACCTACTAGGCTGCGACTGGATCAACTACCAGTTCTGCAGATAAACCATCTCCATACAATCGGACATACAAATACTGTTACAGCAATATGACGGAGGAAGGAAAATTCACCGGGGGGATAAGTTAGTATCTACATTCCACCTGGCACACAACCACGATTCATCAAGGCTCGATCACTGCCGTATGTGAAGCGATCGAAGGTAGAAGAGGAACTTGATTGCCTGCAGAACAGCGACTTCATAGAGCCGGTAGAGTTTCCGGATTAGGAGACACCAATTGTTCCGGTACGAAAGTCTAATGGATCGATTCGTATATGTGGTGACTACAAAAATTACTCTCGATTGCAGTATTCCGGTTGAGCAATACCCGATCCCGAAAACTGAGGACGTCTACGCGCAGCTCGGTACCAGCAGGCATCTCGCGTACGCTTACCAGCAGTACGAAATACACGAAGACACCAAAACAATAACGACGGTCAGTACCCATCACGGTTTATTCGGATACAACAGACTACCGTTCGGCATACATTCGGCTCCGGCCATTTTCCAGCGAACAACAGTGAACGTAATAACTGGGTTGCTTAAAGCTTTCGTATACATAAACGACAGATTGGTTACGGGGGCGACAATTGACGAACATCTGTAAACTCTGCGAGTTGTTTTGGACCGCCTGAAGGAGAATGGTTTGAGGCTTAAACATAAAAATGCATATTCTTGGCTCCCCAATTTGATTATTTGGGTTTCCATATAAGTGCTGAGGGACTGAAGACGATTGAGGAGAATATCCGGCCTATCTTTGAGGCACTACAACCAAGAAATCAACAAGCGTTGAGGTCGTTCTTGGGAATGTACAATCACTACTCCAGGTTTGTTCGGCAATCATCCACAGAGTTACACCCGTTGCATCCTTTGTTATGCAAGGGACTCAGTGGGTGTAGTTTGAAATGGGGAATTGGCTTTCCGTTAAGCTAAAAGTGCATTGGCCAGTCCGC